CCCCCACAACCATACCCCCCCCCCCGCCCCACGACCGCCCCTGCCTCTCTTGTTGAATAAAGGAGAGTGAAGTTGTCCCAGTTCTGAGGGAGCGAGTTCATTGGTTCAGCCTGATCTCGCTCCAGTCAAGACAGGAACAGGCTCAAGGTTTCGGTTAGAAACAGAGAGCTGTCAGTCAAGGAATGGCATCTACCAATTAGCGCACAGAATTTGCAGAGGCGCCACCAGAATGGGGAGGAGCATAAGGGAAGGTCTACTCTTGATTGGGTGAAAGGAGCCAGGCTCCGCCCTCTTGACCCGGCGTGCAAGCTGCGCCCTCTTCAGCCGGTAGTCCTTGGTACAAGAAGTGAGCCGCTCTCCCCACACTTCACAGCCGACCCTGGCCGTGTCCGGGAGAGAGTCGCTCAGAGAAGACTCCATAGAGTTCCGCGAGACTCCCACGCCGTCTCTACGGTGAGGGAACGCAGCGTGCCACGACCATCGGTGCCGCGGGGAGTAAATACCGCTGTGAGACCGGAAGTGTCCCGGGAGGCGTCGCTTCCGGAAGTGTGGCATATCCTCTCCACACCAGGAAGTGTGGTGCCGCCGCGGCTCCTGGAAGTGCTCCAGTCCACCCAGTAGAGATGTGGGGTTGAAACAGGTGTTAATGTATCGTTGTTTGCAGAGGCTCATTGGAGCGTCACCCTTCCGAAAGTGCCGGAGGGTGCAAGTATTTGATCATGTTTTTGAATGTCGCGTCCTGTCGAAAACTGTAGGGGAAACAGCACTAGGGATGTTTCCAGGGGGCCTGGCTCCCTAAAGGCTTTTAAGAAGTTTTCTGTTGCTGCCCATCACCTTCGATTCCCCTTCTCCCCAGGGATGTGCAGATGGAGGCCGGAGGAGATAGTGCTGTCCCAGCCCCCGGGGGCGTGGAGGACTTGGTGGACACGCAGTTGCCCATTGAGGAGGCTGGAGACAGTGAAGGGGTTCACTCGAGCACGCCGGATCCCGGAGATGGGGACCCGGAGGACACAGGTATAGCTCCCCTCAACGGAGCCTTGGAAGCAGTCCCTGGGGGTTGTCATTGCTAACTCAAGGGGAAAGAGATCAAAGGGAGACCAGTGGGCAGTCTTTGGGGCCTCAAGAAAGTCGCTTGAAGCATAGCTTGGTCAGTAATTGGTCACAGGCTTGCTGATTTAATTGAGATCATTGAGAAGTCACAAGCCAGTGGGTGTCAACTGTTGTCCAGGAGGGGCAAGATGTATCCCTGTCATGAGGGATCAATGGTAGGAAGATGGACTATGCTGATTTGTCCAAAATAGTCCTATTATTAACATCGGAGTTCCCACATCCCGGTACACCCTTCTGTTGTAGGGAAATCAGAATGTACTTGACCTGAGCTTAGATCCTTGAAGAATCAAAAAGGGGCGTGGTTGGGTTCAAAAAGGGTTATCTTAACAGGTAATTGGGAATTGAGGCAAGTTACTTGGGTATTTGGAAACATGGGATTATCTGTGCACAATTAAGAAAATATGAAAACGTTGGATGTGAGAAAATTGGATGAGGTGGCAAATCAATGGTTTTCATTGCATGTCTCAGACCTCAGTGGCAGGGGGATGAAGGAAGTGTCAAAGGAAGCAAGGGCTTTCATTATAGATTTAAAACGATAATCTTGGGGGCGACACAGTGACTATCGAAAAAGCCTTAAGTGTTCATAATGGTTAATGGTGGCCACTGGTGGAGTGGAGGGGCATGGAGCTGTCATGAAAGGTTATTGGAGACAAAAGTGTTGGTGACATTAATATGTACTTGTTGGGGTGTTGATGTAGCAGTATAAATAAATAGGGGAGTGATTGAAGGTTAGGGGAGTCCTGGTGATCTGGATGTCAGTGGCTGTTAATGGCCACTGTAATGGGAGAAATAAGGACCATCACTGAGAGTATGGTTAACCAAGAGAGTCAGTGGGCATCACTGGGGATTGGTGGATGAGGTAAAGAAGGATTAGGATAGTCAGTAGGTGTGTTTTAGTGGTGGCCACTGAGGGGTGAGTACACATCAGGAGAATGAATAAGGGGGTCAGAGAAGTTAATGAAGAACCACTGCAGATAATAGTTATTCGGAGAGTGGGGTCCTTTGAAGACCTAGGAATGGCAGTGTTGAACGGACATAAAGGAGGGGCCAGGGAACAACAGTGAGAGCATGTTGGGTTATTTGTGTTTTAGGGTGGGGCTCATTGAAACCTTAGCATTAGTGGACATAGGTAGAAAGGTCCCAGCCATTGTCAGCCATTGTTCACTGAGTAGCTAGGAAGACATATGGAGATCTTTGTCAGCATGCCTGGGTCATTGGGAGTCAGGGGACTGGTAAGGATTTGATAGATTGTTGAAATATGTGGTTAATGGGAGATGAGCCACTCAGGGCTCCCTTTCAGGATCCATGGCCAAGGACCAGCCACCCCGCCTCCTGTCACCTGGGCCTCAGGCTGAGGCCCCATCAAGCACTTGTGAGCACTGGAAAACTGCAGCTTCAGATGAAAATCCCTCTGGAGAACCTGAGGGTAGCTCTGAGGACCAGCGAGAGGACCCCAGTGATGGGGACCCCAATGATGGGGATCCCAATGACGAGGACTGGCGCAGCCAACGGAAGCACGTGTTTGTGCTGAGTGAGGCAGGCAAGCCTATCTACTCACGGTATGGTAGTGTGGAGGCACTGTCTGCCACCATGGGTGTGATGACAGCCCTTGTGTCCTTCGTACAGAGTGCAGGAGATGCCATCCGAGCTATCTATGCCGGTGAGTGAAGAGAAAAGAAGGTATAATTGGGGCTGGTGACTGGGAATACGGCAAGGGTGTTAGAGTTTGTGTAACTACCCTTGGTAGATTTGTCTGTCTGCCAGCCTATATGAGTCTGTCTAGCTACCAGAAGTGAGTCAGTGAGGGTGACTGTATGGAGGGCCATCTCTTTGGGTTCCATCTGAGTGGTTGACAGTATACCACCTGGTTGTCTGGGAGTGAGGAGGAGTGCTGTATGATCTGGCTTTGTTTTAGTCCTTTTTCATCACACAATTCCCATCACCCTGATTCCTCCACAGCCCACATAAGTCTGCAAATGTCCCAATACCCCTAGCTTGTCCTTGCCCCAATTTTGGTGCTGGCAGAGTAAGAGTGCAGGCTCAGAATAGGTGCTGTGTGTGTTGGAGAGTGTTTGGGAAAGGTGTCCCATCTGACCCCTTGGCTCATTCTTGGTCTGCCTCTGCCCCTGCCCACTCTTCCTTCCCCTAGAGGACCACAAGCTGGTGTTCCTGCAGCAGGGTCCACTCCTGCTGGTGGCTGTGTCCCGGACTCCTCAATCAGCAGCACAGCTACGGGGTGAGCTGCTTGCAGTGCACGCACAAATTGTGAGCACACTAACACGTGCAAGCGTGGCGCGCATCTTCGCACATAAGCAGAACTATGACCTACGTCGACTGCTGGCTGGCTCAGAGCGCACACTGGATAGGCTCCTGGACAGTGTGGAGCAAGACCCAGGTGCCCTGCTCCTGGGTGCTGTGCGTTGTGTGCCTCTAGCCCGTCCACTGCGGGATGCCTTGGGTACACTACTGCGGCGCTGTACAGCCCCAGGCCTGGCCCTGTCAGTGCTGGCTGTTGGTGGCCGACTGATAACAGCAGCCCAGGAGAGGAATGTGCTTGCTGAGTGCCGGCTGGACCCAGCTGATCTTCAGTTGCTACTTGACTGGGTGGGTGCACCAGCCTTTGCAGCAGGTGAGGCATGGGCACCTGTGTGCCTGCCTCGTTTCAACCCAGATGGTTTCTTCTATGCCTATGTGGCCCGCCTGGATTCCATGCCTGTCTGCCTGCTGCTACTTGGTACCAACCGTGAAGCCTTCCATGCCATGGCTGCCTGCCGGCGCTTGGTTGAAGATGGGATGCACAACCTTGGTGCCCTTCGTACTCTTGGAGAGGCTGCCAGCTTCTCTAATGGACCAGCAGCCAATGCCCCTGCCTACAGTGTGCATGCTGTGGGAGCACCTGGCCTCCGGCATTTCCTCTATAAGCCACTGGACATCCCTGACCAACACCGCCAGCTGCCACAGTTTACCAGGTGGGCCCTGACTCTACAGGCGATTCAAGACATGTCTCACCAGGACTGTCAGCATCTTGTACACATAAGTTAGGAGAGATAGTCAGCCATGCCCTAGAAAGGGGGGACAGTTCTCTGTTCTGGGGAGAAAAGGCTCTCCTTCCTAGTTTAATGGAGGCAGCTGGGCTTACACTCACTGGAAACCCTCTAGTCTAATGTGGGAGGCTGAGCTCTATAACCAAATTACAATCCCTAGACTGCCAGGGGAGGCAGACCCTTGACTCACAGTGCCACTGCCTCCCTCTGTTGCAGTCCTGAGCTAGAGGCCCCATACAGCAGAGAGGAGGAGCGACAGCGACTGTCAGACTTGTATCACCGCCTGCATGCTCGCCTCCATAGCACCTCCCGGCCCCTGCGCCTCATTTACCACGTGGCTGAGAAGGAGACACTGCTGGCCTGGGTGAGTTGGGCAGGCTGTCAGTAAATTAGTTTCCTACTGCAAGCTTGCTTTGCCTGTGATTAACCCTTTAGCTTTAGCACACACACACACACACACACACACACACACACACACACACACATAGGCACACTGGAACTTGCCCAGGCTTTGCCTTTATCTGTACCACTGATCCTCTGGGTACATGTGTCTTAAACTACTGAAGGATTTCTCACTGTCTGCAACCCTACCTTAGCCCTGCTATTCCTTAGCTTTCCTCCATGATCATCCAGGACAGGGTCCTGGACTTTTAAGGATTCCACCTTTGCTTGCCAATTCCGTGTCTACCAGTATAGAGTCCCAGGCTCTCCTTGAACACAGCCAGTTCAGGACCGCTCCATGCCCTCTATCTGGAGTGACCTTCCTGTGGGACTGTAAAGATGAGCAACTGATGGGGGCTGGTGGCCAGGCAGGGAATCCCTTAGGAAGTAAAACCTTCCCCACCAGGTTCTTTAAATAGCAGTGCATATTAATATGGATCCAGCATTGTTCTAGGCTAGGGTTTTTGTTGTCTTTAATTTTGGAGTTGGAAGTGGCAAGGTTAGTATAAAGGATTACCATGAAAAAACTTTTCACTTACTTTCTGCAAAGGTAAACTTTCACAAAACTCTAGTGGCTTGCCATAGCAGGAAGTTAACACTGCTCTGACATAGAATCCAGGCTTCGTTAGCATTCTGCCAGTTGTCTGTTCATGTCAACTTACTGGTCCAGAACCCAGTCCAGGATCACATGGTGGGTCTGTTTTTATGTACCTTGGTCTCGTTTGTTCTGGAAAGGTTCCCCAAGCTTTGTTGCCCTGTGGCCTTGGCATTTTCAAAGGACATCAGTAAGCTTGCTTGTAGAGTGCCCCTTGGCTCAGGTCTTTCTCTTGCTGGACCATGCTCAGAGTCATGCAGCAAGTGGCATGAGCCAGTTTCCTCAGTTTCAAGGGCATGTGATGCAGGCTTGGCTCACTTAGTTAAGGTGGAACCTTTCATATTTCTACTACAGAGTTAGTGTTCACCCTTTGTATTCAGCAAGCACTGTGGCAGCTACGGCCCATGCAGTTGTAGTTTCAGAATCATACTCCTCCCTCTCATTTCACTATGCCTCCATGATCTGAACTTACTAGGTATTTGCTGGTAGGGGTCTTTTCTAACTGCCCTACTTTTTACATTTATAGTTGGGACTTTATATAAGAACAAACTTCTTGTTGGGTTTTTTTAATTAAAAATTACATTTATTTAGTTAGCATGTATGTGTGCACGCACACATGTGTTGAGTGTAGAGGCCAGTGGACAGCTTGTGAGAATCTGTACTCTCCTACCAGGTTGTCAGGCTTGGTGGTAAGTGCCTTTATCCACTGAGCCATCTCAAATTTTATGTGAATATTGACCTCATGAGATTTCTCTTGAATTTGGTAGTCTAAAATATTTTCTAGCATCTACAGTAGTTACTTCTGACTTAGCCAGTGGACTCCCTGATTTAGGCAGCCTGGGCCATTTCCCATGGCACATTTCTGTCACATATGAGCACAGCTTGCTTACTTTACTTACCATATCCTTCCCAGACTCAGCCATTTTACCTAGGAGCCTCTTGCCATCTTTTTCTAAAGAGTTGACATTTTAAAACCCAGATATAGTAGGTCTAGGCTTTTAAATCAGGTGGTTGGGAGAATGCTTGCTGAAAAGATGTCTTCCCAGTGGAGAGAAGGTGGTGAGCTGCCTAGGTGCCTGGGGGAGGAACTACCTACGCATAGAGAGAGGACTACAGATCTGAGGCAAGGCTGAGGCTGGCTGTATTTGAGCAACAGCAAGCCAAGGCCAGAGTTTCTGGGGCAGAGGGAGAGCAGTGGGAAGTGGCACAGAAAACACAGGCAGGAGCATAGAACAGACTTGTATGTAATGATTGGTCACTGAATATTGAGTGCTGTTTGTTGGTGTTACTGTTATCTCTAATCCATAGATAAGCAAACAGAAACACACACACACACACACACACACACACACACACACACACACACACAGTGAAAATGACCCAGCTGAAGTCACTTATCCAGTTGGCCTCTTGTCTGTCTTGACAGGATAATCCCAGATTGCCTGTTTTAGCCCAGCAAGCCATACCCAGCTGCTGCCAATCTTGTTCCCAAGCTTCAGGAGCACACAGGGTTGGGTTTGGGAGCACTGGATTGATTGCTCATGGCTAGCTCTCTAGCCCATCTGACTGTGTCCTCCCCATCTCTCCAGGTGACCTCCAAATTTGAGCTCTATACTTGCCTGAGCCCCCTCGTGACCAAGGCAGGTGCCATCTTAGTAGTGACGAAGCTCCTGCGCTGGGTGAGGAAGGAAGAGGACCGGCTTTTCATCCGTTACCCACCCAAGTATTCCACACCACCCTCCACCTCAGTGGACCAGGCCCCCAACAATGGCTTGTTCACTGGACTCTGAATAACTTCTGGAGTGACCACATTTGGCATTTAAATTTTGTCTCTACTCTGGAAATATGGGTAGAAGTCTGTGTGGGGCTGGTCCCCATTTCCGTGGGCAGATGGGCAAGATCTCAGGGTTTGCCCACAAATGGGAGAAGGGTGACAGCAGCTAGGGGCACAGGTTGCACTCTGAGCCCCCTCATGCACCTCCCTCCACATCTAGGAAGGTCAAAAGCCTCCTCTGCCCTCTGTCTCACCTCCTTAAATAACAATGCCACACACCCTCCATCATTAGCTGGCCTCTCCACGCCTCCTCTAAGCAGCACAGGTTGCCACCCTGTCCATCTTCCAAGCAGACCTGAGACTGGGCTGAGGCTGCCCTCAGGATAGGGGTGGTAACCCACAAGGGCTCTAGAATTTGGAATGCAGGGCTAGCCTATGCTTAAAACCAGCCTAGGGATATTTAATGAAAAGGGCCTAAAGTTGAACCCCACAAGACATCCCTCTGCCCTTCATGTCCCCCTTTTTTTCTCTCCATTAGTTTCCTTTAAAAAAACACAAACAAAAATAAGCCCCACCAATTCGGTTGCCTCCAACATCCACCTGTGTAACACATGCCACCTGACTTCACCCAGCGGCGGGATGCAGCTTTGTGAAGATACCCGTAGCCTCTAAGGCTTCTTTCTACACAAGAGCGAGAACTTCCTTTAGGCCCTTTTAGTGGAGATCTGTGAATGGACAGGGCTTGGAACTCTTGTGTTGCTACTCAGCACGAATATATTTGTTCTGGACGTTGGTCACTTGAAGCAGCAACCTAAAGAACCCTTAAAGAGCTTGTAAGCACGACCCACCTCAGCTACGCACTACCCTGCTTCCCGCCGTGTTTAACGATAGGGCCCTGTGGTTGGGCGCATGCGTGCTAACTATCGGTTGCATTGTTGTTCTGCGCTTGCTCAGAGCAGATACTGTGTCGCCCCACCCCCTGGTTTCCTACAATGTCTGTAGCAGCACGTGCTGCTGCGCCCCCGCCCCCCGCCACTGTTTTTCCACTCTTCTGTGGCACATGCGCAGATGCCCCTCATTGGGAAATGGCTGCGGATCTGGAGCCTTTGATGGCAGAGTGGCTGGGAGCTGAGAAGACTGAGGAAACCCGAGGTAATGAGGGCCCACAGGGTGGAAGGGAGAGAGGCTTTGGCCCATTATAATAATCAAGAGTTAATTTTTTTAGAAAAAAAATGTTTTTACCCTATTGAAATTTTTAACTTCCACACAGTGGCAATAAATAATATACGTGTTCTTATCACCTAGGTTAACTTGCCAACTTTATTGACCTTATTAAATACTTAAATAGTTTATTTCAGGACCTGTTACTAAGCAAATCAGAAGGGATAGTGATATGCTCACAAAAACTGCCCTGTTGCTACATAGCCAAGGGAAGAAACTCCTCGGTGTCATTTCACAGCCAACTTAGATGGTTTACTACATGGATTTTTTTTTTTCAAGGCTCTTGAGAATTGTTTTCTACACTATTTTCAAATTTGTTTTGACTTAAGTAATGACAACTTCTCCCCTCACTGGGGGCCTAGAAACTACTGGAAATTGCAGTTCCTTCCAAAGAAAATATTTCTCATGGGAAACGCACCACATGAGCATTGTTGTTTTAGTTATAGAAAATTCCCAAACATTCTAAAGTAGAGAAAATATCATGACCAGTGACCCCGACCCTACTTCGAAATTCTGTCTTTATGTCTGTACCCACCTTCTGTTCCTGCATGCCAGGCCTGTCGCTACATGACCAAACATGGGAGGGGACGTCTTGCCAGACCTGTCCATTCAGATTCCAAAACAATGGGTGTGACCTTCCAGAGCAAGACCTGCAGTTTCCCTGGGCACCTGAAACATTGCTTGGTGCTTGGTACACAGTGATTTTTCTTTTCTTTTCTTTAAATGGGTGAATAATGAAATCATTTAAACAGAATTTGAATTAAAGTGTAGGCACAGGTTGGGTGCTGGTTTTCAAAGAATAAAAATCAGACAGACAGCAACAAACCACACTTTATTAAGCATTTGATACAGTACCACAGAGATTTGAAAACTTAGCACCAACCTTTCAAATTCCTCAAGGGTTAAGTAGTGAGGGACTTTGCTGGCACTGGCGGAAGTTGAAAGGCATATCAGGTTATTTTCTTAGCCATTGACTTGGGCTTAGGGGGATAAGACTTAGCACCAGTGGCACCCAGACCTTCTGGTGGAGGCTTCTGATTTTCAGCAGATGCTCTTCCACATCTGTAACCTCCATGCTAGGTAAAAACAGGAGTTTGACTACACAAACATGAACCAAGGACAGTCAATGGTGACTTACTGCCAGAGACAAAGATACAAGAAGTGATCACATAAAGGACCAAATCTAGGGATAGCCATGCAGATTGCAGATTTTTTTTTTTTAAAGAGGTGGAGAAACATTTTCAGTTGATATAATTATTCATTTATAAAAGATGGGCCCCAGGAGTTTTAGTTTTATTAGTGAATAGTTGGGACTGAAACAAGAAGGAAGGGGGTTGTCAAGAATAGCTGCTTGGAAAGTGAAGTAAGCACACTTTGATAACTGGCTAAGGGCCTTGGATTTGGGGGAGGGGAACAAAATGGAGGCCTTTTGTGATTCATTGTTTTATTTATCTCTTAGAAAAATAGGTATAATATGTAATTTAAAATATGAGAGGAAAAGGGAAAGTTGAGCAGGACCTGAGGATTATACATTGGACCAATGTTAACCTCACATTTTAATGGCTATTTTGCAGTTATTTGGAGTCTCTGTATATAGGAAATATGCACTGGAATATTAAGTATTAATGGGTCATACTATCTGAAACTTCAGTTCAAAAACACTCAAAACATGGAGGATCTGATAGAGTACCATAGCCTATTTCTACAACTTTTGTGTACATCTGAAATAATTTCGAAATAAAATATTAAAAGGAGGTGTATCTTTCACAGGCTCTTTTCTTTTCTAACAAGGAAGTTTTTTTTATTGTTTTAAGTTCACAGATATATTAGATTTAAAATTTTTTAAATTAAAATTTTAAAATTTGCTTATCACATGGGGGCTTGAAAGAGGGCTCAACAGTTAAAAACATGGGCTGCTCTTTCTGAGGACCAGGTTTGATTCCCAGCATCCACACAGTGGCTCATGGCTTCCTGAAACTCCTCTTACAGGGGATCTGATACCCTCTTCTGACCTCCACATGTGGTGAACAGACATACATGCAGGGCAAAATATTCAAACATGTAAAAGTAAATAAAGATAAAAATTTTAAAAATCAGTTCTTCTCACTCACCAGGAGTCTTATGATTAGCAGTTAAAAGGCAGAGAGAGGAAAACCATGGATGGAGCATTTGCAGAAGTAGTTGGAAAGGCCTGCTGGGGAACACATGGACAAATGAGAGAACATTACATATGGTCTGAGTATTAGAGACACTAAAGATGATTGTCAATCATACTGGGTATGATTATAGTAACTGAAGAAGCAAATACGGGTGGATGTTAATAGTCCTAGCATCTGGGCTATATGTGTTAGGGTTCATTATGGCTTTGTCACACTCTGACAGTTTTCATAAAATGTTAAACAAACAAGCACCTTTCTCTGTTATGAGCTTTTCTTTCTTTGCAAAATATTAAAATTATTTTAAATAATAAAAATGTCTCAGAAGGAGATATACCAACTTACGAGAGATAATTGTATCATAGCAATAAGATTCAGTGCCAAAGAGAAGGGCAAGTTCTATTTATTCAAAGATTTAGATGTTTAGAATGTTATTTGGGTATTCAAATTGTTTTAAATAAGTGACATATGAGATGTATTTTTTTTCTAAAAAGTGAATATATAGTAGTCACTGAGCTGCTGACAGTGGTTAATTCTGAGAAGGAGATGTTGGTAAAATAAGACTTTTAAAAAAGATTTTACTTATACTTTCATGTTCATATGGGGGGGGGGTATGTTCATGTGAGTACAGGTGCCAGTGAAGGCCAGAAGAGGGTTAGCTCCCCTGCAGCTGGAGTCAAGTGGTTGTAAGCTGTCTGATGGGTGCTGGGTACTGAATGTGGGTCCCCTGGACCCAAGGACTTCTGCCCTGATCACCTCTCAGCCATCTCCATCCCATTGACTTTTAAATTCATGTTCTATCCATGTTTCCATAATTTAAAAAATTAAAGTGCAATGGCAATGAAAGCATAAACACATATTGGATGGGTACTAGGTAAAAGTGTGCTCCTCAAGCTAACCACATAGCTTAGCTAGTAAAGGCCTGACCTAGCATGTGTGAGGCTCCAAGTTTGATGTACCGCATCCTCAAAATTAATCAATCAAAGTAATAGTGTGACCCCCTTCCCTGGCTAGGGCCCATCAGATTCTCAAAGTATAATATATTATACATTTGTATGAATTGTCACAGAATAAAAAAATAAATGCAAAAAAGTGACCTTATTTGAAAAGAGAATGCTCTAGTTTTCATTTCTGTTGCTGTGACAAACTATTCTAATAAAAGCCAACTAGGGGAGAAAGGATTTATTTAGTTTACAGTTCCATCACAACAGGGAAGTCAGGGCAGGCACTCACTCAAGCAGCTAGTCAGACCACAGATCCTCAGCTAAGCACAGAGTGGAACCTATACAGCCATCTGCCTTCTTACTCCCTCTCTGTCAGCCTTTTCCTTTTTTGGGGGACCCCTAACTCAGGAAATAGTACCACAATGGCTGCACCCTCCTGCATTATTTAACAGTAAAGACATCCCCCCAGCAACATACCCACAGGCTAACCTGATCTAGGTAATTCTTCAACTGAGGCTTTCTTCTCCATTGATTCTAGGTTGTGGCAAGTTGATAATTAAAACTATCGGGGCAGGAGAGAAGGCTCAATGCACTTGGCTGCTTTTCCACATGACCCAGGTTGGATTCCCAGCACCCATAGGGCAGATCACAACCTCCTATGACTCCAGTTAGGGAATCTGTCTCCTTTTCTGACCTCTGGGAACCAGACATGTAGTGCACAAACATACATGCATGTGTTTATCCTCACACATCAAAAAATAAAATACAAACTAACCAGCATATGGGATCTATGCAGATACAACTACTTAAGATGAGGTCATACTGGTTTAGGATGGACCATAATTCAGTGGTAAATATCCTTATAAGAGAAAGGAAATATGGAAAACAGCTATGCACAGTATGGCATGTGATAACAGAGGGAAGACCTACTATAGAGCACTTGGTCCTGGCAGCTGAGGAAAGGAAAATGTGATGATGGCACCATTTATGGCTGCAAAGATGACACCCTACAGACAACAGTAGAAGACTGTTCTGAAATTATGGCATATGTACATTGGAAGAGTACACAGCCACCAAAAAGAAGAAACTGATCACCAATATACCTTGTCAAGTGAAAAATAGAAGGACTGTGACATCTATTTGCATGTATGTCAATCAACAGCTTGGATCACTGGATGACTTTTAAGGAGAGGGACTGGGGAACTTGGGGTCTGAGGCTAAGGGACTTTCTTTACTGTTGTGGAGAAGCACTTTCTGCCTGTGGTCTCTGCTTATGAGCTGTTCTGTCCAGTTTTCTATGGAAAGCAGGTCACTGAGATTTGAGCTTTTATCACTGATCTCAAGAATTTCTGGCATTCTTCCTAGGATTGTTTGTTTGTTTGAATTTTTAAAGTAATATGGGCTCATGCTAAAACATCTGTAGAAGCATGCATCATGAAAAATGCATTGGCTTGAATGAGGAGCCAAGTAAGTTCAGTCAATTGCAGTTTGTTGATATAGGCTACAGGTCATCCTTTCTCTATTCAATTTCTTCTGTCCATCCAAACTCATGTTTGAAAACATTTACAATATTAGCGGAAGTCAGTCTTAGAGATCAATTTTCATGGTTTTAGATCTAAATGTTAGTTATTAAAAGGACACACAATGTAATTATGTTCAAAATTATTTAGCTCCAAACTTACAAATGTTTGGTCTTAAGATATTTACACCCCAAACAGAGTTGACTGCTAAGTTCTTCAGTTTCAAGGAAGAACGTGCTGTTAACTTTACTGATGGGAATATCTCTTAATGCTGGTGGCTCTTCCATTGTTCTATAATTGTATGAATGAGGGAATTGAGTGGAGAAGTGCTTACACTAATTCCAAGTAAGACTACATAACCAGTTACGGTGGTAATAAGGAGGGAGATACGTTGTGTAATTGCCGGATAATTTTTAGAAAGTTATGCCATTGCTCAATATTTTTGAGGCCAAGAGGTTAATCCTAAGGAGTTTAACCAAGACTCAGGAATGAAAGCCCACACAAGATAAACTGTGAAACAAAACTGAGAGTTTAAGAGAAAAAGAAAGCCACACACAAGTCACCTTTTCTGGCAAGGACAACAGTGAATTTCCCATCTTCCTTGTGCCTTTAAATAGTCAGAGGGGAGGGGAAGGAAGAGAAGGGAAGGGAAGGGGAGGGGAGGGGAGGACAACACTGGGCTGAACAGAGGACCCTGGGTTCTCCCTTTGCTGAGAGGCTCTGTCCCTGTCTCAAGTGAGGCCTGAGAAATGTGGGTACTTGTCTTTCTTAAAGTAGGGCTTCCCCCCAGTTCTCCGTGTGTGTGTGTGTGTGTGTGTGTGTGTGTGTGTGTGTGTTGATTCCTAGTCTTCATAATATTGAGTAGTTTTTCAATAGCATCATTAGCATGTTCACCTGTTCTTTGTGTGTATTCTGGATTAGTATTAAAAATGTCAAAATCTTGATGTAATTCCACGTCTTGGTGGGCTCTATATTATTTCCCTCCTTCCTCTCCTCCCAGTTCCTTCCCCCACTTCCCTTCTTTCCACCTCTCCATCCATTCCTCCTCCATTTCTATTCAGAAAAGGTCAGGCCTCCCATGGATGTCAACAAAACATGGCATATCAAGCAAGGTAGGACTAAGCACCTGTGGGGTCTTTTTTGCTTTGATAAACAGTGTTTCAGCTGTACATGAAGAGGTTCCTCACACCCGCTTCTTTCTGCTTAAAATGATTAGGGACTGGGGAGGTGGTTCCATGGGTCAAGCGCTTGCTACACAAGTGTGAGGACCTGAATTCAAATAACACACCAAATACAGCAGAGTATGTAACACCCAGCACGGGGTGAGTAGGGATGAGGGTTTCAGACAAGTTGATTTCCAGACTCAGGCTGGTCTGTCAGTCCAGCTGACATGGCCAGCTTCACGTACAGTGAGAGACTGTGTTACAAAACATACAGTGGCATGCGACAGAGAAGTTGAGTTCTGGCATATACATTTGGCAACAACAAATGCACCTCCAGGTAGAAGTACTTACTCACATGTACAGCAACATACACACACAAGTTAAGTAAATGTGTATTAGCAGCATAGGTAGTCATGTTTAGGCCCATCAATTCATTAAAATTTACAAATTAGGGCTATAATTAATTTTAAAGAAATCAATATGTAATCTGTCTTCCCTATTACATGGATTAGAACTTCATGCTTACTTTCAACAACAGCAGAGTCAAGAATACATTCTCCTCACCCTGAGTTTGACTAAGGGGAGTTCTGGAGTGTCTTTTGTCCTCTTGTGGAGGAGCTGATTTGTTCAATATACACCGTGTGATCTATAGAGACAGAGAACAGGGTTCCCCAGGTGCCCTGCTGTGGTGGAAACCTGACCCTCAGCCCAGCCTTGGCTGTAGCCCAGGATCCTTGCTGCTCTTCTACCAGGGTCTGTGTCTTACCTGGCTTTATCCTTATTCCTACTGGTCCTGTAATTCTGGTTTTCCTCTCTACAGGGCAGACCACATCTTTGAGTAAAACTGAAGATTTGCTGGAGATGGTGAAAAAGCTGCAGAAAGGTCAGGTATCCTGGGTCTGAGTCTTGGATTTTGAGTCAGGCAAACAGGGTTAGAATCTGAGACCTCAACTCACAACTCTGGAAAATCAT